CCTCGGAAAGTCCACCGCCTCGAGGTTAGGACCTCCGAGCGGAAGTTGGCTCGGTCGCCAAACGTGACGGGCAGGTCGATCTGCCCGAGTGGGTATGCCTGCATCCCTAGGATCACACCATGGAAGGGAGAGCTCATAGGACAGAGCTTTGACTAGGGGATGCGCATGGCGTCGAGGGTGTCGACGTACAGAATGTTGAGGCCACTGCCTCTGTCCATCAGCACCTTGGTGAGGTGCTTCTTGCAGATGATGGGGTCGACGGTGAGCGGGTAGCGACCCAGTCGGGCGATGTGGGAAGGATGGTCTCTCTGATCAAAAGTGATCGAGGAGTTCGACCAGCTAAGGAAAGAGGGGATGGCCGACTCGGCGGCGCATGCCTCTCGGTAGCGTACCTTGTGCTGGCGCTTGGAGTGGACGGCGTAGGATCTCCCAAAGATCATGAGACATTCCTCGGGGTCGGGGAAGCTGTCTCCATCCTTACCCGCCGTGCCCCCCTTCTTGGCTGTGTCCTCCCTACCTTTCCCTTCCTTTGGCTTGCCAGCTTGTCGCAGGAAGCGCTTAAGGAGGTCACAGTCCTTGTAGAGGTGCTTGACGGGGTAGGCGTGGTTGGTGCATGGGTTCTCCATGAGCTTGTCGAAGTGGTTAGACTGGCCCTGCTAGGGCTGTTTGCCTGCGTGATCGGCAGCGGCAACCAAAGCTGGGTTGGTCGATTGGCACCGATCCTTCTTGTTCTTCTTGCCCTATTGTGTGGAGGGGCCCTCGCCTTGGTCCTTGCGCTTGGCCTTGCCCTTGTCCCGACCGCTACTGAAGACCGCCTGACTGCCTCTTCACCGGAGGCGTGGTTCGTGGCAATGTCGAGTAAGTCGCGGGTGGTATGGGGCTTCACACAGTCGAGCTTGTGGACTAGGGGCTGGCAGGTTGTCTTGGAGAGGAACTCGCTGACGACGTCCGCGTCGACGACATCAGGAAGGGAGTTGCACTGTTTTGAGAACCTGCGGATGTAATCCCGCAGGGACTCGTTGGGCTTCTGTTAGCAACTCTTGAGGTCCCAGGAATTCGCAGGACAGACATACGTCCCCTGGAAGTTCTCGATGAAGGCCCTCTTGAGGTCCGCCTAGTCGCGGATGCTGTTGGGTGAAAGGAATTCGAGCCATGCCCGAACATGCTCCCCCATGCAGATGGGGAGGTACTGGAGGATGAAGTAGTTATCATTCACTCCACTAGCTCAGCAGGCGAGCTGGAAGTCCTCGAGCCATACACCAAGGTTCGTCTCCCCAGTGTACTTAGCGATGTTGGTGGGCGGTCGGAAACGTTGTGGGAACGGTGCTTTTTGATGCGGCGACCAAAGGCCCATGGCCCCGGGCCATCAGGGCTAGGCTTCGGTCGTTCGGTCGGCCGCCATGCCTGGGGTGCATGTCCTCATACTCCTCGACAGTCTAGCCGGGGCCCGCACCACTCGCTCTTGCTGCCATTCGATGGACGTCATCTTCATGTTGAGTATGGTGCCGATTGTTGATGACGCTGCGAGCGTCATGGTTTGGGCTGAGCCACTCGCGCATAGGTGGTCGGTGTGGAGCAGGCACCGAGTTGGGCTGCGGTGTAGTCGCGGCTTCCTGCTCCACGCCCGACAACTGCTGCGGTGAGTGGACGGAGCGATTCGACTAGTGCCGCCCTAGTGCCCCGGTTGGGCAAGAGACCATGAGACAGTGTCACAACGCGGAGCTCTCCACTGGTGAACGACGACGGTCTCCACTAGCTCCCAGAGGTTCCGGTGGATTGCCTGCTCCTGGGGGTCGGTAGGCTCGGGGAGGCCACGCAGAAGCATCGCTGCAGCAGCGATGTTCTGGCCAGCCCGAGCAAACTGAGGGGGGTCATCCCCTTCGTCCAGTATGTTATCGCTGGACCTAACGGGCATGACCCCGAGCACTACTCGTCGGATTACGCGCATGTAGCGTAGCGTGATGCGCCGGGCGCACCGGCGTAGGTGGCGGCTGGATCTGCTGCCTTTGTCATAACCTCTCGTGTGCTTGCGCACGCACCAGGGCCGGCGCATTGGGGTACGGAGGGGTGTGAGTCTACAGAGACTCCACTACCTCCGGTAGCTGTCCCGGGGCGACGCCATAGTGCACTCCGGGAAGAGGGTGGCCAGGTGACATGATGTCGCCATGCTGGAGCCGTTGCTTTCGACCTCGTCATCAATGAGGTCGTGGAAGGAGGCAGGGGCACAACCCACCATCCCCACAAACTCAGACGTGAGAGGGGGCGGCGCCAGCATCCTTTGAAGCCCCCGTGTGCACGCGTCCACGGGGGACGCGAAGCCGTAGGGGAACCGGTCGCATGGCGTTCGCGGTGGGGACAACGGGGCCCCTCCAGAGAGCTGGCGGAAGGTGTTAAATAGTGAGTAAAGAACAATATGTACATCACTCATCATGGGGTTTGAGCCCAGCATGGGCTCGAGGCGAAGCGCGGGTGTCTCGACATTGAGGTCGTCGAGTGGCCCGGGGTCGGTGGAGGGCGCTCCTCCTCTAGTGGGTGCTGGGACAAGTGTCTCCTCGCGGAGGTGGAGTACGCCGAGCTGGTCAGCGACGAAGTCCTAGACTCCCGAAGAGGAAGGTCTGGAGTGGCATGAAGACGGGAGGAACCCACATCCCAGCAAGTGAGAGCATGGGAATATCCAGTGTGCCAAAGCGAATCGTATCGCTCGAGTCCGCCATGCCGAAGATGGTGGAAAGGTGGGCCATCCGATGACCAAAAGCGTGAACGCACGGTGTCCTCCCCACGGATGGTGCCAACTGTCGGTGCGAAATGTGGCCGACAAGTAAATATTTGTAGTTTTGCCGTGCGCTGTCATCGGATGTGGCCTAGCACGCGATGACACAGGATTTATACTAGTTCAGGCAACGTGCCCTACATCCAGTTTCAGTCGGTTGGTGACTTTATTTCTGAGCCTAGGTGCTCGATGTTTACTGTGGGGTTACAAACGAGTAAGGAATGAGAAGGGCGTGATAGAGGCCTGGTCGGACTCTGATCCGAGTGGAAGAGAGTGATGGATGCTCAAACGTGCGCTAAGTATTAGAACGTATGCTCTTTGTGTCCAAGCTGATCTGCTGTTGAGAGCGTGTAGACTGTATCATTTTAGGACAGAGCGCATTCCCGTTTATAGATGAAAGGGGTGGCCTTCCAAGTCAAAGACGGAAAGGAGAGAGTGTGAACGGGTGCTACCTAGTCTTGTCGCCCACGTCGTTGGGTACGGCATGCCATCGCCCGCCATACTGTTTACGCCGCCATCTCCCACCTTACTGTTCGTTACCTGTTGTACCGACAGGCTGCAAAGTGTTCGCCTGGGACGACAAACGATGGCACCAACTAAACTGTTTGTGCTCTGACGTGTCTGGCAGGCTGTATAGTGTTTGTCTGACATGGCCTGACGGCACCGTCCTGTAGGTGTGTAGGGTATGGTAGGGTACGGTCCTCGGTATTGCGGTTGACTTGAGCGCCTTACCTTATCTGCTCCGCCTGCTCCCCGGGCCCACACCGAGCAGGCGTCCTGGTCGGTCGTTCCCAGTCGGCCCCGACCTTGTAGGTTGGGAAAGAGAGTCGAGCAAAGGTCCGGCATATCCTTGGTCGGAGTCGGACTACGGTCCCACCACAGCCAGGCCTTCCGGTCGGGGCTCTGACCAGGTCTCCTGGCCGGAGGTGCCGGTCAGGGACCGGATCGTGGTCTCGGTCTGTCATTGTGTATCTAGGCCGGTCCAGACACGCGCTGTCGCTGCGCCACTTGCTGAGCCAAGTATTGAGAGAAGCGGGTCCATTGAGGACCCCGGGTTTATGAAGCTGACATGAAGCGAGTGGAGGAGACTGTCATCTGCGTGTCTGCGCGTGAAGCTACTGCCTGTTTTTAAGGTACGATGACCATTTTTTTTTACGAGAGATCAGAGATAGAGGGGGCCTTCACTAACTACCCATATTCTACTCGAAAGTATACTTAGAGGGTGTTTGGGACTGCTCCACAAACTCTGCTCCACAAACTTCACCGTGGAGCAGCTCCATAAAAAACTGGAGTTTGTGGAGTACCTCTTTAGGTGCTCTCACAACTCCACCCTTTTTCCTGGAGCAGAGAGTCGTCTCTGAAACCGACTTGGCTAAAAATCGTATAGTAGCAAGCATCCCAAACACGCCCTTAGTTGCCTAGCACCTGCAGATACATGAGCTTCAGCATCCCTATTGTCATCTTCTCTCGGAGACTTGGAAGTATAGTAGCAATTATCGCTCAATGTTGAAAGCATAGACGGTGCTGTTTCTAACGAAAGCAAATGACAAAACCAAAATAATTTCATTTTAATACGTTATTTTTATTTTCTCCTGTCCTATTTTTTCTAAGTAAATTGTGAAGTTTTCTAAGTAGTCCTTTAAAAGGTGGACCGATCATATCGACTATGTTTATCTAAATTTATCTCTCAAATTCCATGACAAAGCACTATGGTGTTGTAGTTAGACGGTACTATTAATTCTCCTACATAAATTCTCTCAACGTACAACGTAAGATAATTCCCACAGCAACGCACATGGTACATCTAGTTCTAAGAAGACTCAAAGTCAAAGCCCATTTTAAATGCCGTCCATCTTCAATAGTAACCTTGATGGATCGAAGGGCCCAAGAGGCGACAGCCTTATGGGCCGTGCAATCGCCGATGCAAGAAGAGCCGCTGCACTACTGCTTCCGCCTCTCAGCCGCCGCCGGCTGCGACACTCCGCCGACGCGATGCCCCCGCCGGCGTCGCCCACCACTAACCGCGTCGCGCTCTACCTCCGCCGCGCGCGCCTCATCGACTCCCTGCGTGTCCGGCTCCGGTCGTCTTCCCCTTCCTCACCTCCTCCGCTCCCACCCGACGACCCCGTGGTCGCGCTCCACGCCATCCGCGCGGCGCCCACGCCGTCCTGCGCGGTCTCCCTCTTCCGCGCACTCCCCTCCCACCCACCGCCGCCGCTCCCGCTCTACCATGCCCTCGCCGCCCGCCTCGCCTCCCTCGCCGCGCTCCCCGACCTCCGCGCCCACCTCGCCTCTTTCCCGCTCCCTGCTCCGCCGCTCGCGCGCCTCCGCGCTCGAAGCCTTCGGTTCCCTCCCGGCCGCCCCGCGCCGGCCTGCGGAGGCGTACAACGTCGTCATCGAACTACACGCGCGGGACGGCGAACATGACGCCGCCGTCGAGGCGTTCCGCCGCATGGTCCGCGAGGGCGCGCTCCCGAATGCACACACCTACACCGTCGTCATCGCCCAACTCGCCTCCGCGGGGTTCGTGGACCAGGCGCTCGAGGTGTTCCGCATCCTGCCGTCGCTGCGCGTGCGGCGGACCACCCGGCAGTACAACGTCCTCGCCGAGGCGCTTGCGTCGGCAGGTAGGTTCGACCAGCTTCGGTGGCTCGTCCGCGAGATGGCGGCCGTGGACGGCGTCATGCCCGGGCCGCAGATGCGCGCTGCCATCGCCGCCATGCGGGAGGCTGGCCACATCGATGGCACGGAGGACTTCGTCGAGGAGCTTTCACCCAACGCAAGGATCGGGTACGCCGTGGACGACGTCGAGGGCGAGGGAGACAGCGAGGCGGAGGATGACGAGGAAGGCGACGACAAGGACAGAAGCAACGGAGAAAAGCAGACACTGAAGCCATGGCTGGACCCGCGCGAGCTCGCCAGGGCGTTGGACAGCTGGGACTCACGGGAGGTGGCCGAGCTCGAGGGCGCCGGGCTCGTCTGGACACCGCGGCTGGTATGCAAGCTCCTGCGCGCATTCAATAAGGCCGAGACTGCGTGGGAGTTCTTCTGCTGGGTGGCGTGCCGCCCCGGCGGGTTCGCGCACGACCGCCACACCGTGGCGAGGATGGTGGCCATCCTCGCCCGCACTGGCCACGTCGAGCTCGTGGAGCGCCTGCTCGCCAAGGTGCGCGCCGACGGCATCCTCCTACCGCTCGCCACCGTGCGGCTCGTCATTGACTTCTACGGCTCTCCAAGAAGACCGACGCGGCGGTGAGGGTGTTCCGGGAGGCTGAGTCAATCTGCGGCCCCATCTCGGGGCCCAACCTCGCGCTGCTCTGCTCGTCTCTGCTGCGGACGATGACGAAGTGCCGGAGAGAGCCCGATGCCATGGACCTCCTCGAGGAGATGATGGCGCGGGGCGTGCTCCCAGACCTGCAGACCTTCTCCGGCCTGATGGAGCACCTGGCCGGCGCCGGCGACCTCAAGGGCGTGCACCGGCTGCTCGGGCTGGTGCGGCAGTGCGAGCTGCTGTTAGATAAGCCTAGCATCTATATTTAGCACTTGCATGTTTCCTTTCAGTTTCAGCACACGCACGAGCACCGACTTGTGGTTGCCGTGCGGATAGGAAGTGGTGGCCGAGAATAGCTCGCCATGAACACTGGCATGCAGCCATGGGCGACGTTTGCGGTGCGTGGGGATGGACGCGCAAGTTCCGCGTCGTGTGCGCCGTGACTGTTATGCTTTGCATCGTTGTTTTCACTCAATAAATAGCAAAGAAGAACACCCAGAAAAGCTGCGTTTTCAGGCAGCACAAATATTCAGTGTCCAGTGTCTCGCGTGCGTTCACAGGTGTTCATCGTGTTCGAGCTCACCGTTCGTTCGCTGAGTCCTCGCCGCCGGCATTCGCCGCGGTCTAGAACTGACAAGTGGCATCAGAGCTAGGACGTAGGGACTCGCGGCCGCAATGTCGTCTCCATCCAAGCCTCGTGGCCGTTCACCCTCCGAGAAGAAGGACGGCTCTGGCGGCTCCGGCACCAAGATGCCGAAGCGCTCGCCATCTCCAAGTCGTTCTCCACCGCGCCGTTCACGCACCCGCGACCCACGCCGCTCGCGGACCCGCGACGCACGCCGTCCGCGGGAAATCGTGGTCGAGCGCATCGTCCGAGAGGGTGGCAGTTCCGGCACCTGGCCGCAGCTGACGCGCACCAACTACCATCAATGGTCGCTGCGGATGAAGTTGAGGCTGCAGGCTCGCCATCTCTGGGACGCCATCGAGTACCCCGACACCACGGAGTACGACGTCGACCGGAGTGCCCTCGACGCCATCTGCAGCGCGGTACCAGAGGACATGGTGCCCGCGCTCGCCACCAAGGACACCGCCTACGACGCCTGGGAGGCCATCAAGACGTTCCGCATCGGCGACGACCGCGTGCGGAGATCAACCGCCCAAACCCTCCGGGCGGAGTACGAGAACATCACGCTCCGCTACCGGCGAGGCCATCGAGGAGTTCGCCTGCGTCTCACCAACATCACGCGGCGGATGGCAGCCCTCGGTGATCCGGAGCGACCATCACGTGGTGGCCTAGTACCTACGTCGCGTCGTCCGCGGTACAAGCAGCGGTAATCTCAATTGAGACACTCCTTGACTTTTCACGCTTGTCAATCGAAGAAGCCAGCCATCGCGGCCGCGCCGAGCCAGCGCCGCGAACGCGGCAAGCCGCTTTCTGAGGGAGCGAGGATCGAAAAGTACAAGAAGAAGGGGGCAGAGTTCTCCGCGGTGGCTCCAACTCCGGTGGTCATGGCGGAGAGCAGAGGTCGGGCAGAGGACGGGGCGCGGCTCCGGCGAGCCTCGTCCCCGGCGGACTTCTCCTCGTCTGCATGTTGTGGCAAGAAAAAAAAGGCCAGGGGCCAGCATCGCAACAAGAACAAGGAGGAGGAGCCGCCCATCAGGCCCACTTGGCCCAGGAGGAGGAGGAACACACCCGATGCTCGCCGACACGCCCAGAGGAGGCTATTCTCTCACCACCGGCTCGTCCACCGGTCTGCAGATCACGCAAGACTTCGCTCCACCACCGCCGCCGCCGCTGAACTCCACCTCATCGAAGCGGAAGGTCGTCCCCAACCTTGACGACGAGGTGGACCGGGATCCGAAGCGATGGATCTTGGACACCGAGCGCCAAATCACATGACGGGATCGCCGCTTTCTTCTTCGATCGACACGCCGTCACGGGCTCGGTGCGAGGGTTTGTAGGTGTAGCCAATAACAAGGATTCGGGGGGGACGGTTCCGAGAAAGCACGGATCGGGGAGGGCAGCGGACGAGTTATGTTCTCCCTCAAGAATGGGGAACACCGCTCCTTCACCGGTGTCTACTACCGCCGAACTCACCGCCAACATCATCTCCGTAGGGCGGTCCGGTTTGGATGAGGGCGGATTCAGTGCTTTCGTGGAGGGCGGCGTCATGCGCATCCGTGGCGAGAGCGGCGCCGCGCATTGAAAGGTGGCTCAGCGGTTTGATGGACGGGCGGACGTGTCGTGCTGTGTCGATGTCACGCCATGGCGCCGCGCACGCCTCGCAGCGCTTGCAAGCAACGAGCTTTGGCGGTGGCTTTTCGCGCCGGGCATCTCCCGCCGCCTCCGCAAGATGGCGAGGGAGGAGCTTGTCCATGATGCGCCTCAGCTCACCGGAGGTGGACCAAGTGTGCGAGGCCTATCTCCGGCAAGCACCGGCGCGCCTCGTTCTCAAGAAAGGTGGCGTTTCCACCGGCGCGCCCAATTGCTGCGACGGCGACATATGTGGGCCAATCACGCCGGCCACACCAAGCGGCAACCGCTACTTCCTTCTCCTCGTCGATGACTACTCCCGCTACATGTGGGTGTGTCTCCTTCCCACCAAGGATGCTGCTGCAGAAGCCATCAAGCGCGTCCAGGCGGCGGCGGAGAGGAAGACCGGCAAGAAGCTTCTGGCGCTTCACCGAGTACTGCGCTCACCTCGGCGTCTGGCACAAGCTCACGACGCCGTACACACCTCAACAGAATGGCATCGTCGAGCGCCGTAACCAGTCGATCGTCGGCACCGCCCGGAGCATGCTGAAGGCGAAGGGGCTACCTGGGGTGTTCTGGGGAGAGGCGGTCACCACCGCTGTGTACCTCCTCAACCATTCCTCTTCCAAGAGCATCCAAGGGAAGACACCATACCAGCTCTGGACCGGCAACGCCCCCAACGTGTCGCACCTCCGCACCTTCGGGTGCATCGCCCATGTCAAGGTAAACACGCCGCATCTCCGCAAGCTTGATGATCGCAGTCGCAAGATGGTGTTTGTGGGCTACGAGCCTAGATCAAAGGCGTACAGAGTCTATGATCCGACGACCCGACGTGTGCACATAAGCCGGGACGTGGTGTTCGACGAGGCAACTCAGTGGACATGGTCCGCTGAGCACGACGGCGTGTCGAGGGACTTCACCATGGAGGACCAGGCACCAGTGGAGGCAGACGCGGTCAGCACCACCACAAGCACCACGCCGCTCACCACTTCGTCGACAACGACACGTTCTGCTTCACCAACATCGTCCGCAACTCCGCCACCGAACAAGTACACGGGCGGGAACACCACCGAGGTTCAGCGCCGCGACGTCGAGACCGGCCCCGTCACCACACGGGGAATTCGGCCTCTCCACCGTGCTCCTCCCTCGGTGCAGCTCGACAACATCCGACCACGACCACGACGCGCCCGCTCTGGTTTCGCCGCGCCGACAACGTGATCGACTACAGACCGATACCGGTCTCGCCAAGACGGACGCGGGGAGGGAGGCGTCTCCTACTCATGAGCGACGTCGAGCCGACTACACCTGGAAGAGGTGCTGCGTCACGAAAGTCTTTGGAGGCACGTGATGCTGGACGAGATGACATCCATCGAGGCGAGCGGTACATGGGAGCTCGTCGAGCCGCCGCCGCGCATCAAGCCAATAGGCCTCAAGTGGGTCTACAAGACTAAGAAGGACGCGGCGGGCATCGTCACCAAGCACAAGGCGCGACTTGTGGGTTAAGGGCTACGTTTCAACGACGGGGCATCGACTTCGACGAACGAAGTTTTGCCCTGTTGACCGCCTGGAGTCCGTGCGCTTGCTCCTAGCGCACGCCGCCTGCGAGGGATGGGCAATCCACCACATGGATGTCAAATTCGCGTTCCTCAATGGCGTGATCTAGGAGGAGGTCTACGTCGCGCAGCCGCCTAGGTTCGGCCTGCGCGACCATGAACAGAAGGTGCTCCGCCTTGTAAAAGCCATGTACGGTCTATGCCAAGCCCCCCGTGCCTGGTACTCCAAGCTGGACGAGTCCCTGCTCGCACTCGGCTTCAAGAGGAGCATGTCCGAGCATGCCGTCTACCTACGAGGCTCTGGTGCCCGGTGGCTGGTGGTTGGGGTCTACGTCGATGACCTCATCATCGCCGGTGGCCATCAGGACGACATCGACACTTTTAAGCAGGAGATGCAGTCCACCTTCCAGATGAGCGATCTGGGACTCCTGCACTACTACCTCGGCCTAGAGGTGACACAGACGGCGGAAGGCATCACTATGTGCCGAGGCGACGCGCCAAGATTCGAAGAACGGCGGGCCTCACCGGGTGCAAGCCTACCTGCACTCCCATGGAGCCACGCCTGAAATCAGTCAGAATAAGCAAAGCACATCCCTGCTGTTGATTCAACTTGTTACTGAAGCATTGTGGGATCCTGCGTTACCTCGTGAATTCGAGGGCGGACTTGGCATACTCGGTGGGGTTTGTGAGCCGATTCATGGAGAATCCGACCACTGAGCACTTAGCAGCTGTCAAGAGGATCCTCAGATACATCTCTGGGACCCTTGATCATGGCTGTCACTACCAGAGGAGGAAGAAGGAGCAGTCCCTGCTGATCGGTTACAGCGACAGCGACTTAGCAAAGGACGTGGACACTCGGAGGAGCACCACCGGCATACTCTTCTTCCTCGGCAACAATCTGATCACCTGGCAATCCCAGAAGCAAAAAGTGGTGGCCCTCTCATCATGTGAGGCCGAGTACATGGCCGGTACCACTGCTGCGTGCCAGGGAATTTGGTTGGCGCAGCTGATTGCAGAGCTCAGAGGCGAGAAGACCGACGCCGCCAACTTGAAGATCGACAACCAGTCCGCCATCGCCCTCAGTCGCAACCCTGTCTTCCACGACCGTAGCAAACACATCGACGTCAGGTACCATTTTATTCGAGAGTGCGTCGAGGATGGCAGGGTGAAGATCGAGTTCATCGGGACAGAGGAGCAACTGGCGGACATCGCAACCAAGGCTCTGACGCGGGAATGCTTCTGTGAGTTGCGCTCTCGCATCGGAGTTCGAAGTGTGCAACATCGACACTAGGCTTAGGAGAAGATTTGTTAGATAAGCCTAGCATCTATATTTAGCACTTGCATGTTTCCTTTCAGTTTCAGCACACTGCACGAGCACCGACTTATGGTTGCCGTGCGGATAGGAAGTGGTGGCCGAGAATAGCTCGCCATGAACACTGGCATGCAGCCATGGGCGACGTTTGCGGTGCGTGGGGATGGACGCGCAAGTTCCGCGTCGTGTGCGCCGTGGCTGTTTATGCTTTGCATCGTTGTTTTCACTCAATAAATAGCAAAGAAGAACACCCAGAAAAGCTGCGTTTTCAGGCAGCACAAATATTCAGTGTCCAGTGTCTCGCGTGCGTTCACAGGTGTTCATCGCGTTTGAGCTCACCGTTCGTTCGCTGAGTCCTCGCCGCCGGCATTCGCCGCGGTCTAGAACTGACAGCTGCAGCCCGACGGGTACATGTACAGCGTGCTGGTCAGGGCCTAGTGCAAGCGGGAGCGCGCGGCGCTCGCGCTGAGGGTGTTCGACGAAATGCGCGCCGCCGGGGTCGCCCCCGACGCGCCCACCAAGGCGCTGCTGGTGAAGAGCCTGTGGCGGGAGGGGAAGCTCCGAGAGGCGGCGCTGGTGGAGGAGAGGTGCGAGGAGGTGGCGGGTGGCCTCCCCGAGTCATCGCTGGGGCTCGTGTGGACGGCCAGCGCCGCGGACTTGAAGAAGGTGATCGACATTTACTCTGGTTGCCTCGCTCAACCTGCCGCCCAGGTCCAGGCTTCAACGGGGTGATGCGCCGGTGCCATTGCCCGTTGGTGCTTGATCACAGAACGGAAATCAGATTCCAGAATGGCAAACTCGTCGTGGCAACATTTGGATGGGTTGCTCGTTGCTGAGCGGCTGGCCGGCTGCAGAAGAACGGCAGAAGCATGGCAGAGAGGATGAGCCTGTGGCAGAACGGAAGAAGCATTGCGCAGGGGTCCTGTCTCGAGGGCCAGAGTCAGGCATTGATGCTCCTTGTGCAATAATACTGTAGAATTTGTTCAGCGTCGTATCAAAAAAACAGAACGTGTTCAGTGTCATTTTTCTTGCTACATGTCGATATCAACTGCAACTGCAAGTGAAGTATGAAGTTTTTTTTTTTAACGAAGCTATTGATATCAATGGCTTAATACAGATGCTTGGTTCTCGGCCACGGAATGCCACACCACAGTTGCGGTGGCGCCAGGAAAACATGTGAGCTGTTTGGTTGGTGACGAGAGGCAGCCATGGAGTGTGGCGAGGAACTGGTTTTAGAGGTTTGAGAAGAAGTTGTAAAACTAGCCACTGGATTACTACCTCGTATGGCCCCGTTCGGCTGGCTGAATCTTTATTAAAATTGGCTAGAAAACACTGTTCGACTGAAATGTTGTGAGAGAAAAATACTGTTCGGCTAAAAAAAAAAGCTGAACAAGCCGGATATGGGGTAAGCCGAACGAGGCCATATGAGTTCATGTTTGACCAGTTTTTAGTAAATAGTATTCACATTTATGGCTCCAAATTAATTTTCTATAAAAATACATTTCAAAATTTATCTAATGGTATTTATTTGACATTATAAATGTTTATACTTCTTTATTTATAATTGGTCAAACTTAATATACTAAAACATGGCATTGTTTCAAAATTACATTCTTTTGGAGACGGAGGGAGTACAACAGGATTTTCAAAATTGTCAAGTTGTTCTGCTGATGGTTTATACGGTGATAAGTCGACTAATGCTATTTTGTTGAAGATAAAAAATATTGTACCATGACTGATAAGTTCAAGCGAAGCGAAGAGGGCATATATCCTCGTTAGTTTCGTTGGAAGTCCAATGGCAGGCGAAAGGGAATTGGTAGATGGATATTTAAGCTCGAAGCCATGGATCGACGAAATGGTGAAGTCCTTTTTCAAACAAATTTTGGCAGACCTGAAATCATTAGTGAAAGTACATGAGGCTCGTGCAACTGTATAAGATTTTTATGATGTGGATGTAAGACAGCTAGCTCCTGTTTTTCGGCACTACTTCAGCAGATTTTTTTCAGCGAAAAAATAATATTTTTCTCTCACAATAAATCAGAATCAGCATCAGCAGTAGCCAAATTTCAACGGCCATACAGGGGAAGGTGAGATCTCATTATTCCTTGAATCAACCACCTTTTCTTTTTTTTCCTCCAAGCGGGCTGTATATGTATATTTATACCTCCTATTTGTCTTTTTTATTTCTCGAAGTGTCATCGCGCCTCTGTGTTCTGTAAGTGACTTGTATTCACGACCTGTGCTTATACGAATTGGAACAACTTGGATCCAATGATGATACAGAGTCCGATTCCAAGACACATGGGTTCTATTGCAACGCACATGCCCATTTGCTAGTCATTTTATTGAAAAAAAGACAGTTTTTTTACATCTGGTTTCTGCGGATGATAAGCCAGTTAATACTGTTTTGTTGTAAGAGAAAAATATTATACCATGATTAATAAGTTCAAGTGAACAGGGCGCTAGATTCCAGGCCCCTATACACCGTAACATTTGTGACTAACACATTTGTTTTGAGGGTTTTCTTAAGTTAGGTCATAGTGATCTTGGATATTTATGCCCCTAATTTGATTTGTGGAAGTGATCAAAATAATTGACCGAAAAGATTAAGGACCTTCTAGTTTAAAGTGTCATACGACGATGAATAGATGAATAGTCGTCGCAATCTCGATCATCCTGGCTGATTCGTAAAAATTCAGGGATCCACAAATCAGGGGAAAAAAACCAAAGGAGGATTAATCAGGAAGCCGATGAGGCTGATCTATCGGCTCTGTCTTTTCCTGCAGGATATAAAGCTCAATCCGATGATGGAAGTGAGAAGCAGCTCAGAAAGCTTGTTCTACAGAGGGGACGATAGAGTAATATATTTTTCAATTGAAAAAGTCATCATGAGAGGTTGCGGGATATGAAAGAAGTTGGCAACCTGACAGCCGATAGGAGACAATCGGCTAACAAATAGCCAATGAACTCCTCCTAAAAATAGAATCGGCACATGGGTTCTCCTAAAAATAGAATCTGCAACAAGAGGATTTCCATAAGTCAATGCCGTTTCAACCCGGACGACTGATGCATATGCTCATGATTCATCACATATGTCGTTTCAACCAGGGATGTCCCTCTGGAAGCATGAAGGAGTTAAACAAATTTATCGGGAGGACAAAGAGAAAGGGAAGGAAAATGAAAGCCGACGGCCAGAAATTCTAAACATACATAAAGATGAAAAATGTTACTTCTGACCGGCTCAGCATGTGGAGAATAATTTGATGGCCCACTGAAGCCGATGATGCAATAGGCAATGCAATCGGCTAATTAACATTTGGAGGAATCTTCATCCATCGACTCCTTTGAGTGATCCATGAAGCCGATGTAAATATAATAAAATGTTATTTGAGCCAGCTCAGAATTTAAAGCATGAAGTTGTCAGTCTGCAAGTCTTGGATTGTCCTTCTACATATAATTAATGGCCAACAAGCAAGGAAGAAGCTGATGTCTATAAAATTTCAAGCAGAGGCACTCATTGGCTCTGAGTGAAGGAGCATACATGCATATATGATGTGCATGCCTTTCTATGATTGGCTGGTATATTCTTTATTCCTCGCCTTTTCTACTATTTATGAACAATCTATCATAGGAAAAGTATACCATCTAAGTAGTTGATGAATGAAATATGGTATAAGGAACATTGCTTACTTTTTGCAAAGTGCTTGGGAATTTTCTTACAAAAATTTAAAATTAATAGCTTGTCTCCTCGATGATGATGAATTTCCTACCAAGGCCATATGTTATCATCAAAAGCTTTCCAAGCTACTTGTTTTGTGTTGACTTTTGTCAAGTCTTGTTGACCCTTGTTAAGAGATTTATCATGCTCCCAAGATCAAAATCACGTACACACCACATATATGTGCTGCTTCTACACTGGAAGTACGCAAAAACATGCTTTTCATCCACCCCAAATGTTCTGCTTCTACACTAGGAGGAGGCAAATAAAAATATGTTTGTTAGGTTTGTTAGAATAAATGCTCTAAGTTCTTGATAATATTTCTCTTCAAAGTTTGTTGTAAAAAAATACATGGTTATGCAAAAATATAAAAGATGGACACAAAAGAGATCCAAAGTAAAAAAAGGAGAAAAAGAAAAAAAAGATGAGAATAAAGATAACCCATGTTCTCGCAAAAATATTCCACAAGAGAGAAATATATTTCAGAGAGCATAGTAAAATTAGGTTAGCCACTAAATATTCCACACATATGCACATCTTGATCTAAGAGTATGCTATTTCTCTCCTTGGATCCGGAGTTTGACTTTACGATATACGCAAGGTAAGTATATTACATATTTTATCCCTACCCAAACTCCACATAAGCTGTTTAGAAGTAGGGTAAATAGAGGTGAAACAATGTCTTGGTGAGGAACTATGCACATTGAGCGATATGAGAGAATCATTTGGGGAGTAAAGCTATGTTTTGATTTAAAAATCTTTAAAAAACCCCAAGTTTTCTAAGCAGGAGAAGTGAGGATGACTGGATTCTAATCCGTTCCATTCTTCAACCACCTAAGATGACGTGATAGACACTTCAAAGTTCACATGTATAGGTGAGGCTTGGAATAAGGTAATACTGCTACCAGTGAATTCTTTAGCTCCTTACCAGTGATTATAGTTATAAACTCGGGGCAGCTCTTAATCGGCTAAAGTAGATGAAAAGTCAACCCAAATAAGTCATCAAGACCAAATATTGCAATCAGATGTCGTTGACTCACGAAAGAAGACCATCGGATTGAAATAGTTCGAAGCATGAAAATTCATACTTTGAACTAGAAGGGCCTATGTTTACACTAAAATTTGGTAAGCTTACCTGAAAAGGAAGATACAAGGTTGGCTTGTAATCCAGAATCATGCGAACGAAAGAAACGGCTGGCTAACAATATAGATGAGAGATGGTTTGTCGGCCAGTACAGTTATTATCAAAAAGTGCACCACAAAATTTGGTACAATCCAAAAGAAAAGAACTTCTGGAGGATTCTTCCACAAGAAGGAATGGCAAAGTCATGTGCATGGGAAATCAATCTGCAGAAGCTAATGATGGTCACAATGACGGCGTTTGGCTGGTCTGAAAATTTCAGGTTTGCTTCTTCTCCTCATATTACTACGAGTATACGCTACCGCTCTGATTTCTCTCTATCACACAACCAGCCGCAAAGCTTCTCCTCACATTGTATCGTGGATTATTTATTGCTGGCTGGTGGTTTCTTGAGAAAAACACTCTCCTCGGCTGAAATTTCGATCTATCACACAATCAACAGTGTTATAGTGTTTTGTCTTATTTTTTCAGATAAGCGAACGGGCCAATGAAGCCGTCCAAAAACAGAGAGTGTGCAGTTCACATTTGATAGGCAGCAGCAAAAATGCATACATCAGATTTATTTGATTCGGACTCTACAAAGGCAACATGCATGTCATGTTTATTAAGAATATAAAGGCCTTGTTTAGATAGCTGTTAGGAATTAGTATTCTAGCACTGTAGTAGCACTTTTGTTTGTATTTAATAATTATTGTTCAATCATGGTCTAACTAGGCTCAAAAGATTTGTCTCGCAATTTACAATCAAACTGTATAATTAGTTATTTTTTTATCTACATTTAATACTCTATGTATGTGTCTAAAAATTTGATATGATGAAGAAAGAGTAAAAAAACTTGGAATCTAAACAAAGCCAAAGATGGAAAACTACACG